CCCCAAAACCCCAAAACCCCAGCAGTAAGAGATACATAAAAAATAAGCTTTTTTATTTAATTTAGTAATAATTAATTTTTAATGGAAAGAAAATAAAACTTAAAAAGTCCAAGGACATCTTAACCTACTCCAAGAGAAATATTCAGCCAATAAAAATCTAAAGGATTGTTTATTAATAAGAAAGATTATTAAACTAATTAATCTACAGGTTTGCTAACTACACTAAGGCATCAAAGCCCCCAATCAGTTACCTAGTCAACTCAGAAACCAGATTCAAGGTTGCATAAGTCTTACAACAAATCTATACCTAGTTAGCTTAATGACAGTGGGGCTAAGAAATTAAATCAAACAGTGAATATGAATGTATAGCAAATGCTCAAAATCATAAAAAACAAATATCAATAAAAGCAGCTTCCAACAGATGAATCGATAGAGCTCTCTCCAGAGAAAACAAAACAGGATGAACTTCAGGAATCCTTGAATGACACTGTAATTTATAACAAAAGAATATATGATACTAATGATCACTGAGACAAGCCAAGATCCTCGATTGGTCAAGTAAGAGTGCATAATCGCACCCCTTCATATCATTAAAGTAATCAAGAAGAATACGATTTTGAGGACAGTATAGTAAGGAAGCCAATTTAACCTTTTAAGATAGTTTAAGAGTAAACTACATTCGATTAAAACTATCAGACAGGATCACAAGAGTATTAAAATTATAGGAGGCCGGACCATGATTCACTTAGGTATCATTTTTCTTTTGGAAATAAAATAGATGAGAGTATAATTTAAGACTAATTTACTTTAGCACAGAATGACAAATAAAATGGAAGTTAACTAATGGATAGTCTAGATTTAGACCATCTAAAGTACGAAGGAAAAGGGTTTTAGGAGACAGAAAGTAGTATAGGAAGTGAATGCAACCTTTCAATAATAAATAGTAGTGTCAATCAAGAGTCGCATCCTTAAATAGCATATTGGAGTAATTATAATAAAACACCAACCACAAGTGGAATTAAAGATTACTCTAATAACTCAAGAAACAATAGTTCATAAAAGAAGAATAATTTTTCAGATAGAATGCAAATAGAAAATCAAAAAAATATCGCCCACAAGGTTTAAAATAAAAAGTAAAAGATTATAAAAGAGGAGTTCAAATAAACTCAGGGGAGTTCCTCGTAAGAAAAGTTTAAAATAAATACTTTGAATTTGAAAAAATTTTGGGAAAATCAGTAAACTAATAACACCAACCCTACAGGGAGTAGTTATCATACGCAATAAAATACTGTTATATCATAGCATCTAAATTCTAAAAGTGATCAAAGATAAGTTCTAAGTAAGATCAATGAGGGAGTTGTTATACATAAATTCAAACTTAAAAACCCTTAGAAAATAACTGAATCATAATTAATGAAAATGATCAATCAAGTCAATCCAATGGGTCTTTTTAGCTTAAAGGATATCAAGTATAAGTTTAAAAATAGTGTAAAGAGCTAAGTAATAGTAAGACTCAAGGGCTAGATCGATGGAATATAAAATAGCATGATTTATAACAAGTTGATGTCTGTCTGTGAATCAATAGAATATTCCCAAGAATAGAAGCATCAGATATGAGAACATGAATAATTTATAATCAGTATTAATTTTTAGCAAAATGCTTAATTATAAAATTTATTTCATTAATGTGATATCCTTTTTTTTCATCACGGGGTTTTGGGGTTTTGGGGTTTTGGGG